TATACGCTCTGCAAATCCGATATTCAAATAATTGAAACAATTATCCTACAAAAAGTTCTTAAAAACTCTATATTATTCCCAGAAAATTTCTACTTTGTTACATTATTAACTCAAAAAATGTGATTGTGTTATGTGATTTTGATATGTTTTTTACATATGTATGGATTGTACAGGAAGGCATTGCTCATGATCATACACGTATTTTCTTAGAACACAGAGAAACACTAGATTTTCCTTATCCACCTATGGGTTTGTAAATTAAAAAAAAAAAAAATTATTTACATGATGTTTTGCATTTTTTTATTACTTATTTTGATTTTTATTTTTTTAATATTTGAATTACATATTGTGTCTTTTGTGCGTGTAGGTAAATATTATTAGTAGATATTGGATATCTTCACATGAATGGTTATTTTGGATGAACGATACCATCTTCCTGAGTTTCGATGATATGGCCTTCCAAGAGGGAAACAAAAATAGTTTTCAATCATGCACATGCATCATTACGGTGCACAGCTGAAAGAACATTAAAAAAAAAGAAAAAAAAAAAGATGAAAATCATGTATATGTCAAGTTTTTCTGTTGAAAAAGCAAGTAAAATTTGCTACTCCTTCGATAGGGAATAAAGATCAACAATTTATACATTATGACGATGATGAGGAGTGTTGCCTACATGTCAAGAAGCTGATGAAACTGAAAGAAATTTTGGAAGAAGATACTTATAATTTGCTACATTAATATGATACGAATAATGAGCATAACGTTTTGATGAAATATTACATAAACTTGTATAATTTAAATATTTTTCAAATGGTTTATGATGTTTTTGGGAGTAGGAGCAGTTCGATTCGATCCGGTTCCGAAGGAACTCAAACCGAATCAAGTACCAACGAGAATCCTACAATTGGAACCATTGGTTATATATCTAATTATAGAATCAAATTGGAATAGAACCAACCGGTTCTGGTTCGATCAGGTTCTGTTCTTCATACTAAAAATTTTATAAAAACAAAGTATTAAACTACTTGTTAGATTAAAAGTAGATAAAATAGAGTTCAAATCACTTATCATTATTGTAATCTAATAATATGTAAACTAAATAAATGACGTGACAAACAAAAATACCCTCGAAGGCTTAAGATCAATTAATAAGGGTATAAAAAAGATAAATTATTAAACACGATATAAACTATAAAATCTGGATAAAAAAATTATTTATTAAGAAAATTCATGTAATAATATATTTAAAAATGTATTTAATATCTATAATCAGATTATTTTTCAATAATCTTCAAGCAAAAGATCTTGATTTTGATGATCGATTACTTTGAAAACAACGAAAATTTTGAATTCTTTCAAAAGATTGAACTAAAAATACAATTTTTCCTATTAGGATTGCGTTAAATTTATGAATTTTTGTAAAGTAATAATAAAATTATTTAGATTTAAATTTTAATTACCCATTAAGCTTTATTGTAAAAGAAAGAAAAAGAAGTGTATGGAAAGTGCAATTTTAGCGTGAGATCATTTTAAGGCCTAGTGTTTAAATATTTAGTGCATGTTTGTGCAATATAACAACAAAATGAAAAATTAGGAAGAATCAAATTTATTATTGGTTCTTAAAATAATACTAAGAATTGGATTGAACTGATCGGTTCTAAATACATGATCACAAAATTGATTCATTTAATAAAGGAACTGAAATCGAACCGACTGGTTCTATTTGGTTCCATCGGTTATAAGAAAAATGCCCTCCTCTGAATATTTTTATCTTACTTTTTAAACTAATTAAAATATTTAAAAGGTCAAAAAAAGAGAGAAAAAGAAGTCAATGATACAATAAGTGGGGGTTGGCATAAAAATATATTTGTAGATTAGGATTAAAATTAATAAAAGTATGAAAAAATAAAGAGAAAAAGGTGATGCTAGAAAAAGAAATCCAAATCCAAAGGTATAAAATCCCCTCTTGCGGAAACACGGAGCCGCCCGAAACAACATATTCCCTTTCTCTCAGTCCTCAAATATCACATCCTATCTATTATTTTATTATTTAATTTCCAAAAGTAAAATGTGGGGTGGTAAGAGAAACATTAATGCTTGTTTGGCTATGCTTAAATAGTTTGCTTATAAGTAAGTTTATGCAAGTGTTGGTCTAAGTTGCATAGTAAATTCTACCTTATTGGTCAATGTAATTAACTTCTTACCCTACAAAGTATAGAATTATGATGAAATAGATGATCTTTACAAAGTGTGAGATATGAAAAATGGATATGCCACTACAAAACATGAGTCAAGTTGTGTTCTAATCTTACTCACAGGTAGATTTTTTATCAACCCATTTCAAGGAACTAAATTCTTTTTGTTCGATTTTCCATTTAAATATTCATAAGAAAATTAGTGATAGAAACGTGCAATAATTATATTTTTATTACATGTGGATGTTGTTATCTCTACATTTTCTTTTACATAAATTATTAATATGGTAAAACTTTATTATTTATGAAGAATTTCCGCATTCCTAGACAGTTGGTAATAAATTCCAAACACGCCCTAAATCAAAACTCAACCACGATTACTTTTTCCTTAACCCTACCCAGTCACCCACATCACCCCACTAGTCCTATAATAATCTCTAATCTCACTCACTCTTTGCTACTGCCTCTTCACCCACGCCCCTCTTTCGTAAACACAGCTCCTTTTCATTTTTCCAGTTTTAGAAAAATCAGACGAAATTATGAGCTGCAATGGCTGCAGAGTGTTGAGAAGAGGATGCAGTGAACAATGCATCTTAAGGCCATGTTTGGATTGGATCCAAACCCCTCAAGCCCAAGCAAATGCCACCCTTTTTGTTTCCAAGTTCTTTGGCCGCAGCGATCTCATGGCCTTCATTTCTTCCGTCCCAGAAAGCAAAAGATCAGGTAAATCTCAATAAATCAAAAACCCACATCAAAATGAGTGATTAGTTTTATTCTACTTATTTTAATTTTGTTTTTGGATTTTTGGGTATAGTTTTGTTTCAATCATTGCTGTTTGAGGCGTGTGGACGGACGGTGAATCCTATTAATGGAGCGGTGGGGCTTTTATCCACCGGCAACTGGCACTTCTGCCAGGCGGCGGTGGAGAAAGTGCTCGCCGGTGGAACTCTCCGCCCGATTCCCACTGGAGTTCTGCCGCCAAACTCAGCTGAAGCATCTGCGGTATTTGGCACTGGCGCATGGTGGATTAGCAATAAAAACCAAATTTCAAAGCCCAACCGCTTCATGCATGGACCGAGCAGTCTCGTCATCAGTGAAGCTCCGCCACCGGAACTCAGGATTAGCCCCGGTACCTGGAATAACTTCCCGATGATGGAGAAGTCGGCATCGCTTGGTTCCGGACTATCGGAATTATCGCCGGGGTTTGAAGGGGATGAAGATGGGATTAAAGGAGTTGGTAGCAAAGTGCCAAAGCTTCTCAACCTTTTCGCATAATCAGCCAACTGAGAATTTTGTATTTTTTTTATTTTTTTTTCCTTGTTGAGTTTTTTGGACTAACTTTTTGCTTTTGGTACTCAGTGAATAGAAAATGTAATGATCTGAGTTTTGATTTCTGAAATTTGACTTTTCTTGAAGATCTTGTAATGGGTACTTTTCTGCTTAATTAAAATAAGTTAGAATAATAAGCGCAAAAGAAATTATAAAAAAAAAAAATTGAGTTGTGATATTACTTAGCAACTGATGTCCCTTTGTATTTATGTCTTACCTATTTCAACGTGATGTAAATATGTCAAGGTCGATGGCAATTACACGTCTGATTAACTTTTACGGTTGAAAAATGATCACTTATGTCACATTTCAAGTTCATGAGTTTAATTTGAGTCTTCTATCAGCATGATCTATATGTTCTAGGATGGGATGATGTTAAAAAATAGTAACGATATTGTTATCTATAATATATTAAATATCACATCAAGCAAATAATTTTTTAGACGATTTTAACTCTACTACAATTCTATTTCAATGGTACCTTACTTTTTGTTTTTCAACATGTAATAAATACTACAAAATCTTTGTTATGTATGAATTTCGTGTGATTAATTTTCAATTAATTAATATTCACATTAATCTAGATTTAATGAATCATGATTTGATGAATTTTGATCTACATGAATTTAGAATTATTATAAATGAATTTATTTTTAGAACAATGCCATATGTACATAAAGATTGACACATTAATTTACACTTATGTGAATTAACGCATTTTGTTAGATTTTTTGATACCCAATAAATCTTGAGCAGTGATGTTAAACCGGTATTGGATAAATTGAAATATTGACACCTCAATAGTATGACCCAAACCTAGAACTATTTGGGCTATTGAAGGTAGCCTAATTTAATTAGAGCTGTTAATGACTCATTTCCTCACTTATTGGATGGCTTATAGGTGTTGGCCCATGTGTTAATTTGGACTTGGCCCATTTTTCTTATACTAAATGTAACTTATATATATGCTGCATATTCCTGTCATATTCCTTCACTGCCTCTTCTCATTCGGTTCTTCTCCTTGCTTTGCCTTTGTGGCTGCTTTGAGGGGGTGCCTTTGTGATTGTAATAACACTGTCATTTGTGCCCTTTGTATGTGAAACTATAGCAATCGAAGTGTGGGAAAATAGTTGTGGTTCTTGAATTGTTAATTGGGGTGGTTGATTTCAATTAGGTAGAGAAACTAAGCTCGGATTTCACGAATCAAAGGTCCATTATTCTACAATTGGGGGTGAGAAATCTGTGTCTTTTCAACCTAAAACTAGCCGTAAACGATTAGAAACGAAGCAGAAATCGAAAGTGAAAAACTGCCATTTTTCTCCCAAAAACTGAACCTGTAAACTTGATTTCCAACCAAACCAGTGGCCATTTGAAGAATCCAATACCACAGTGAGAATCAACAGGTGGAGGCGCACCTAGGTCCAAACCACGCGTGGGGGTGACGACCGTCGACATCTGCCCGTGTGGGCTCGTGGGACCTCACCCGACGACTGTTTCTTCAGGCAAAATATTTATAACGTGATTTCTAACAATTTTGTGTTGTTAGTTTTGTGTTCCAGGTCATACAGTGAAATCTGGATGATTCTGTCCCTGCCTGTTTGTGATTCAATTTTTGTACGGTTGGTTGCTGTAGTTGCTGGAGACTTCAGGGCGAATAATAGTGGTCCTAAAGTGATAAATTCGCATCACTCGTAATTTACGGACTCGGATGGTCTGCTATGGTAAATAGGCTAATCCGTTTAAATTTCAGCATTAGCGCGTCATCGTGTGAGGTGACATTAGGATTGGGGTTACCGTGAAGGGGTATCCATTGCTTGTGCTAGAAATTTAAGAACTATTTGCTTTATTTGAAGTGTTGGATTTAACTGCAACTTTTTATAATTGTTTCTATGTTTAATTGCGTGAGAATTTGAACTTTTTTTATATACCTTCACGTTGCATTGGTTATTCCGTTAGAATACCTAGACTTGACCCGTTTGAACATTCCCTTGATTTGAGATCTTATATCTCACGAAATCCTGGAAATCTAGAACGTTGTATATTGTTGCCTTATAATTACTTTGTGTGACTTATTTGTGTATTTCGATTTTCTGTTTTTCAAAATGTCTTCATATTTCGAAATTGAAATTTTCAATGGGAAATAAGACTTTTCAATTTGGCAATAAAAGATGAAGGGAATTTTGGTTCAACAAAAAGTTTTAAAGGTCATAGATAGCAAATTTTCTACAAATTTAATAGAAGTACAAAAGGAAAAATATGATGAACTTACTTACACTTCAATTATTTTACACCTATCTGACACCGTTTTGAGAAAATTTGAAAAACTTGATTCCACTAAAGAATTTTGGCAAAAGTTGGAAGACTTATATTTGCTTAAATCTACTCCAAATAAGTTGTACTTGTTTGAAAGATATTTCAACTTTAAAACGGATCATTCAAAGGATTTTGATGATAATTTGGATATTTTCAACAAA